TAAGTCAATCAGAGAAAGACAATTATCATATGATCTCCCTGATATGAGGAAGTTGAGAGTCAACGTGGGGGGCTTGGGGGGTAGGAAAAGAATAAATGAAACAAGATGGGATCGGAAGGGAGACAAACCATAAGAGACTCTTAATCTCACAAAACAAACTGTGGGTTGCTGGGGGTGGGGGGTCGGGAGAGGGTGGTGGGGTTATGTACACTGGGGAGGGTATGTGCTATGGTGAGTGCTGTGAAGTGTGTAAACCTGGCGATTCACAGACCTGTACCCCTGGAGCTAATAATACATTATATGTTTATAAAAAAAATAGAAAAAATTTTTTAAAAAGAAAAAAAAAGATGGAAATGTATTTATTCCATGCTCATGGATTGGAAGAATAAATATTGTTAAAATGTCTATACTGCCCAGAGCAATCTATACTTTCAATGCCATCCCGATCAAAATTCCACTGGCATTTTTCAAAGTGCTGGAACAAACAGCCCTAAAATTTGTATGGAACCATAAAAGACCCTGAATTGATAAGGAAATGTGAAAAAGAAAAACAAAGCTGAGGCATCACATTGCCTGGTTTCAAGATTTACTACAAAGCTGTGATCACCAAGACAGCATGGTACTGACACAGAAACAGACACATAAACCAAAAATACAGAGTAGAGCCCAGATATGGACCCGCAATGCTAAGGTCAAATAATCAACAAAGCAGGAAAAAATATGCAGTGGAAAAAAGACAGTCTCTTCAATAAATGGTACTGGGGAAATTGGACAGCTATGCATAGAAGAAAGAAACTCAACCATTCTCTTACACCATATACAAAGACAAACTTGAAATGGATAAAAGACCTCAATGTGAGGCAGGAATCTATCAAAATCCTAGAGGAGAACATAGGCAATAACCTCTTCAACATCGGCCACAGCAACTTTTTCAAGACATGTCTCCAAAGGCAAAGGAAACAAAAGCAAAAATGAACTTTTGGGACTTCAATGAAGATAAAAAGCTTCTGCACAGCAAAGGAAACAGCCAACAAAACAAAGAGGCCACCCACAGAATGGGAGAAGAGATTCGCAAATGACACTACAGAGAAAGGGCTGATATCCAAAATCTATAAAGAACTCCTAAAACTCAACACACACAAAACAGATAATCATGTCAAAAAATGGCAGAAGACAAGAACAGGAACTTCTCCAAAAAGGACATACAAATGGCTAACAGACACGTGAAAAAACGTTCATCATCTTTAGCCATCAGGGAGATTCAAATCAAAACCACACTGAGATACCACCTTATACCAGTTAGAATGGCCAAAATTAACGAGACAAGAAACAACAAGCGTTGAAGAGAATGTGGAGAAAGGGAAACCCTCTTATACTGTTGGGGGGAATGCAACTTGGCACAGCCACTTTGGAAAACAGTCTGGAGATTCCTTAAGAAATGAAAAATAGAGCTACCCAAGGCCCTGCAACCGCACTACTGGGAATTTACCCCAAAGATACAGATTTAGTGAAAAGAAGAGCCATATGTACCTCAATGTTCATAGCAGCAATGGCCACAATCGCCAAACTATGGGAAGAGCCAAGATGCCCTTCAAATGTTGAATGGGTAAAGAGGATATGGTTCATATATACAATGGAGTATTATGCCTCCATCAGAAAGGATGAATACCCAACTTTTGTATCAACATGGATGGGACAGGAAAAGATTATGCTGAGTAAAATAAAGCTGAGAGAGTCAATTATCATATGGTTTCACTTACTTGTGCAGCATAAGGAATAACATGGAGGACATTAGGAGAAGGAAAGGAAAAGTGAATTTGAGAAATCAGGAGGGGAGGAGGAACCATGAGAGACTGTGGACTCTGAAACAAACTGAGGGCTTTGGAGGGGAGGAAGGTGAGGGTTATGGGTAAGCCCGGTGGTGGGTATTAAGCAGGGCAGGTACTGCATGCAGCACTGGGTGTGATGCATAATCACTGAATCTTGGAACACTGAAAAAATAAAATTAAATTTTAAAAAAGGAAAAAAAATGCTCCAACATAAAAAAATAAAATAAAATAAAAAAATAAAAAGGTTTTCTTGGCATTACTACATATTCATATTCGCTAAGCTTAACTAAGTACCAAGGTCCCAATAACCATTGTCAGATTTTCCTTCATTCTCCTCAGTAACAATTCAGAATCTTGACACTTCTCCTGCCAATCATCCCATGTAACCTACAAGTCACTTTGGTTTCAGATCACTTGTACCCATCCTCATTCCTTCTCTTTATTTCCAGAAGATAACTACTTCTGTTGTTGAAAGCACACCCTTACACTTGTGCTACCTATCCCATCTGTGCCATATATTGAAAATACTTTTCCAATCCTGTTATTTCAAACTATTCCTCTCTATTGTTTTTTTACTTTAGTCCTATTAAAAGGTTTATTATGAAACCATTACCTTCATAAATAATTCTCCCTTGACCTTGTTTCCTACTCTCACTGTTCTTTATATATTTTCAATTCTCAACGGATTCTACCAAAAGAGTAGTCTACACATAGTTTATCCACTTTATCAATTCTTATTCACCCTGAAACTACTCTGGAAAAGATTCAAAGCCACCACAATGTCAGATCCAAAAGGCAATTTTAAAATCATTGCCTTGGACTTCAGCCATTATTTTGAAAACTCTGACCAGTTAGTCTAATCACTTAATTTATATCACACATCACTCTTCTGCTTCTCTTCTTACCTCCCTAACCCTTCCAGCTTGATCTTCCATGTTGGCCACTCTTTTTTATTATCCTTATCTCAGAAATATTGATGTTTTTTAGGATTCAGTCTTCAGTCACCAGTCTATTTATAAGCACTCTATAAACTCTTTTCTATATTACAGCCAAACTATTGATTACTGCTAAATCTATATCCTTTTGTCATCCTCTCCTCAGAGATTCAAATTCCTGTATTCATATAGTTAATAGAGAAAATCCACTTGGATATCTTATAAGGCACTGCAAACCAAACTCTCCCCTTCCTCACACATATATTTCACTTGTTTCTCATTTAATTAATTATAAACTACCCATTTTCTTAAGCAACAACTAAATTATCCACAGTTTTTCTCAATCACTCTAACAAATCCACCTTTGAAGTCTACTGAATTTTTCTTTCCTGTTCTATGACCAATGCCATTGTTCAAGCCACCATCATCACTCGTGTTTATAATCAGATACCTTACCTCAACTTCTGCTTCCTTAAAAACCACCTAAACTCTCAATGAGACTGTAAAGTACATGCTTCAAAACATTTTTGGCTTCCAAAATCCTTATCATAGCATTACAGATCTTCTACAACCTGGCTCCTGCCTATTTTCCAAAATCTCTTATTTCTATCCTCCAGAAATACACTCTTTAGTAATTAATGTGGACTTCTTGCACACCACAGAATTCACTGTCTCAAACCCCCATGTTTTGCAGATGATTTCCTCTAAACAGAGGAAATCTCTAAACTACCTCATTTCTTTATAGAGCTCTCAAGGTATCTTCTGTCAAGCTACAAATTATCTTTTACCTCTTTCCAAAAAACCTTCCTTGATTTCCAAAGAATATTATTTACACATTTATTACAATACTATATTATAATAAAATTCCCCCTTTCTCCATTAGTTTGTCTGAATATGCAAATTCACTGTGGACCATGGTTTACCTTTGTATACCTGTGCTTTTACCCAAAAATCAGTAAACAATTAGTAACACATATATACAAATATCAGTACACATTTGAATTGAAATGATTCTATTCATACCTATTTTCAAAAATCAAGAAACCAAACAATTAAAATTTGAAAGGATAAAATAGTTACTTACTGTTTTGTGAGATGGACAAAATATGGCTTTCCTTTTATTGTAATGATATAAGCAATCTGTAACATGAGTATCCAAAAAATCAGAATAATACTTGCAAATAATTTATCCTAAATAATGTATTTTCTGAGTTATGCTTTAAAAAATACTGATAAAATTAATAATTATTGTATAACCATTATATATGTTTCCCTTGCTGTGTGATATCCAAAGCTTTAGAATTCTAAATTGAGAACTACATACTAGTCCCCACAGGCCTATTATTCACCCTAACATTTCTTAGGGAAAAGTTTACCTGATGATTATTATCCTTTGGCTTAGACATATATCACCCTTCACTATGCCCAAAGCAAATACCAAAGATACTACGTCACTTGAAAGAACATATTACTTGTTTACTCCCAGACCTACCAAAAAGTAAATTGGAAGAACTACTACTCCATGGAAGAAATACTCCTAAAAGATAGCACTATAAGAAATGCACTATACCTCTAGCAATATAACATAGTAAGTACCATTGCACTTTGCTTATCCACATAAGCAATGGCATGCCTCTGGAATAGAATGTAGGAGACGAGAGAGGAGGAGCAGAGACATATCCAGAGAACCCACCAGAAGACAAGAGAAAATAAAAGATTCACAAAATTATTTATTTTGTTAATTTTAAAAAATTATTTTAACAAGAGAAATAGCCATTGAAAAGTTTTCAGGTCCTCAACTTTGTATTATAACACCACAAGATTCTTTGCAACAGATAAATGTTCTGGAGAGTCATTTGAATGACACTGTAGAAATCTGGTGAGGATCCTGAGAATTGTCCCCTCTAAAAATACCATTATTAAACAAATATGATGAAAAATAAAAGGGAATATGATAGCATCAATAAAATTTTAAGTCCACATAGCTTACAAAACAAAACAAAACAAAACAACCCAGAATGTAAATAAGAAATGTACAAAATTGTCAGGAAGAGAAAAGAAACTTCAAAGACATCATCTAGAGCTTCTATAATGTTTCAAACACAACATCCAAATGTTTGGGTTGAATTGTCTCCCTCCTTCCAAATTTATTTGTGAATTCCTAACCAAGGACCTTGGAATATGATTTTATTCAAAGATAGCATCCTTATAGAAGTAGTTAAGTTAGGTTACTAGGTTGGGTCTTAATCCAATATGACTGGTGTCCTTATAAAGAGGGGAAATTTAAACACAGACATACACAAAGGGGAATGCCATGTGAAGATTTGCAAGGAGAAGACTCTATCATAAGCCAAGGAGAGATGCCTGAGGCAGATTCCTCCTCCCAGTCTTCAGAAAGAACCAACCCTGCCAACATTCTGATCTTGGACTTCTAGCCTCTTTTGTTGAACTGTGAGACAATAACATTTCTGTTGATTAAGCCACATGGCTTGTGTTACTTTTTAAGCATTCCTTTGAAAGCAATACACCTATTTTCAATAAAAAATTATAAGAAATGCACAATAACAGGATCAAATTACCAAAAATCAAATAAAAAAAATAGAGAGTTATAACAAAGCTACAGGTAATATGTATATTAACCATGACTTGCGAGAAAAATATGGAGAATTTCAGAAAGGTAGAATATCTAATAAACAAACGGAAATTCTAGAGCAGAAAAAATGTAATACCTGCTACTAAAAATTCAATAGAAAGGGTTTGACAGAAGATCAGATGGAGTAGAAGACAGAATTGGCAAACAGGAATACCAATAAGTAGAAAATACTCAGATTGAAGTACAAAGAAAAAAATGCCAAGAAGAAAATAAGAGAAGTGTAACCCATTAAAAACATCTAACATTCATGTAATTATAGTCCAAGAAAAACAAGAGAAGATAGAGACCAGGAAAGAAAAATTTGAGGAATTAATCCCGAGATTTTCCAAAGCTTATTATGAAAGGTATCAACCCACACTCTCCTACTCTTATTAATCCAAAACAGAATGAATACAAAGAAAACAAACCTAGGCATATCATACTCAAACAACTGAAACAAAAAGACAGAAGCACATATTTAAACAGCAACAAGAGAGAAAGGGAACATTATTTCCAAAAGACTTTTAAGTAAGTATGCCTAAGTCTCCCACAGAAACGACGAACACTAGCAGGCAAAGGAATAACATCTTTAAAGTCCTGAAAGAAAATGATAGTCAACCAAGAGCTTATATCCAGGAAAAATACCCAGCAGATGTGCAAGCAAAATAAACATATTTCTTCAAAAAGAAAATGAATTCATTGCCAGCACACCTGCACTGAAAAAAATACTAAAAATACTGTGTTCTTTTTATAAATAGGAAATTGCTTCAAGATAGAATCATGAAAAATGTAAGAGAATGAAAACCATAGGAGAAAGTAAGTTGCCGGTAAATTTAAGTGAATATCATTTGTTTTAAATAGTGATAATATGTGCTTTTGGCATTAAAAAAAATACATAGTTGTAAAGTAGATAATAATGGCACAAATGACAAAAAGAACATAAATAAGGAGTAAAGTTTTAAGGTCCATGAGTTATTCAGGGAATGGTAAAATATAAATTTAGTAATCACAAGGGTAGTCATTAAAAGAATAATAAAAGAATGCATCAATAATAGCCTAAAAAGATAAATTAGGATAATAATCACATCATGGATTATAAACAACAGAGGAAAGGAAAAATTAAGAAAAACAAAGTGGGTTTAAAAATAATAATTATATGGGGTGCTTCTGGGTTTTAGTCAGTTAAGCAGGTGACTCGATTTCAGCTGGGGTCATGATATCAGGCTCATGGAATCCAGTCCTGCACTGGGCTCCACACTCAGCACAGACTCTGCTTGAGATCTCTCTCTTCCAATTTGCTCTTTCTCTCTCTCTCTAATAAATAAATAAAACAAACCTTTAAAAAAATTGTTATTATTATACACTTCATAAATAGAAGCATTTTAAACATAAAAGACTGAAAATAAAAGGATTAAAAATTCTACTATGCAAACAATACCCAAAAGAAAGATAATGTGGCTATATTAATAGCAAGCAATATAATAAAATTGAAAGTGAATTATAAGAAACAAAGGTGGACATTTTATAATGACAAAAGCATTAATTAAAAGTTAAAATTCTATATCATAAACATTTCACACAATTAATATTATATCCCCAAAATATATAAAACAAAAATTGATGAAACTAAGAAAAATTATATTCAATTCAAAAGTATATGTGATTTTATAATTACATCAGTTACGTTAAGGACCAAGAGAAATATCAGTAGGGCTATAAAGATTCGGACAGCACTGTCAATTAAAATTCTCTGACATATATGCAACACTACACATAATCACTCAAAAAGAAATATTCAAATGCACATATAACATTTATCAAAATATCTCACATGAAGGATAATAAAATAATTCTCATCAACTTTTGATAATCCAGCTTTTATTCATAGATAAGTAGCAATTAGAAAATTAATGAAAGAAACCCCACCATATGTCGCAGCATTAAAATATGTCAAAAAGAAACTGAGAATAACTATAACAAAAGGTTTTCAAGACATCTACACCAAAAACTACTAAGACTTATTGAAAGAAAACCTAAAATACATGGAAAGATATACAGGTACATGAATTAGAAGACTCAAAATTGTTCAATTTCCCCTAAGTTGATCCATAGATTCAATGAAAACTCAGTAAAATCATAGCAGGTCACTTGTGGATATGAACAAGTTAACTGAGCTTAGAATAGTCAAGACAAGAATATATTTAAAAAAAAAAAAAGTAGAGGTGCCTACACCAACCTGTATGGACTTATAAAGCTACAGTAATTAAGGCAGTGGAATATGGGCCAAAGTTTTAAACAACAGTCCAATGGCACAGAATAAAAAATCCTGAGAGTGCCACAAATATGTATTTATCTGATCTTCAGTAAAGTCACCACTGTAATCTGAGGAGGATAAACACTCTTCCATACATGCTGCTCAGTATCCATACAGAAAAAACAATGAACTTTGACTTCTCTATCTCACGATAGGGAAAAAAAAAAAAAATCCAAATAGATCACGGTCTAAATGTTACAAGGAATATAAAGCTCCCACAAGGGGCACCTGGGTGGCCCAGTGGGTTGAAGCCTCTGCCTTCAGCCTGGATCATGATCCCAGGGTCCTGGGATGGAGCCCCGCATCATCAGGCTCTATGCTCAGTGGGGAGCCAGCTTCCCCCTCTCTCTCTGCCTGCCTCTCTGCCTACTTGTGATCTCTGTCTGTCAAATAAAAATAAATAAGTAAATAAAGCTTCCACCAAAAAAAAAAAAAAAAAAAAAAGTAACAAATGCAATGACCACCCTATCATATCTAGAGGTCTCACTGATCCTCAAGAGGAGGGAATTATACAGGGTGCACATCAAGAAGTAGGACTCTTGAAGGACATCTCAGAATTCTGTCTACTGCAATATAATACAAATGTATATACAGATATAAAGAAATATATCAAATACACGGGTATGGTTATCATTAGATGGAAAAAGGAAATGGGAAGGGGGACCAGGAATAAGGGAAGAATTACAATAATAAGGGGCTTAATGGGACCATTAATCATAGTGTGCTATGAAATTGAAGGAGTGTAGTATATATCTATGCCTAAGGTCTAAAACATCCTCTCTGCAGTATTTCAAAAACACTAAATTTCAATCAAATTAATCACAGAAACTGAAATATAAATCCCTCTTATGAACATATTACATCATTGCCAGAAGGAATTGGCAGACATTCTGCAGCACACTGATAATTGTTCCTAACTAAGTAGAAATTAATGAATTTCCCACCTTTACTCTTTTATATGGGGGCAGGGTGGTTGGGGGGATGCAAGGATCTCAAAAACATTCTAGGTCATATTTTGTACATGGATATGTTTTCTTTAGTTTGCTCTATTATCAAAACTTATAGTTGCAGGAATGATGAAAAAGATTTTTCATATTATTCATTTTGGTTGTTCTTGTGGAAGGAATTATGTATATCACTATCATTCACAAAATTCAGCTAAAATAGAACAAGGAGTCTGGTGGTTGTGGTGGGAAAAAGTATCCAAACATTATTATGTAAATAAAACTCAGCAACATGTAAACACTACACCACCCCCATAAGATACCAGGACATGAACACCAAAGAATATTAATAGAAATCAAGTTCCAAGGGGCTGTAAAGAGCAGCTTCGGTTGGCATACATTTGGTATGTTAGAGAATACCCTGCGACTCTACCTTACTGTTCCAATGTTCCCTTAAATAGCCTTGGCTCAGTCAATTTGGGCTTTAAAAGGAATCATCATTTTACCAACATTTGTTATTAATATGTTTCTAGGGCAAAATGTTTTACCCTAGTACTTTTCAGCCCAGAAACCAAGGAAGAAAAAACAAAAGGAAAAGCACTTAGTATTACTTCTTTCTTTGCCCACTAAACTAAGTGGGCCCCTTTTTAGTGTGTGTAACAGATGGTGATGAGTGTTTTATTTGATCAAATCATGTGAGGATTTGGAACAACAAGCCTTGGCTGCCATTAATTCCTTTATCTAACTCAAAGAAATCATTTAGGAGGGGCACCTGGGTGGCTCAGTGGCC